ATTTATATATATATATATATATATATATATATATATATATATATATATATATATATTTGTAAATTATGTGTATAGGCATGTGTGTCTGTCCCTGTGTGGGATTTTTACACATGCGTGCAGGCATGGGGAGGTCAGAAGAGGGCATCAGACACTGGAGCTGGAATTAGAGGCAGTTGTGAACTGCCTGATGTGGGTGCTAGGAACCAAACCCAGGACCTGTGGCAGAGAATATGTGCTCTTGATCACTGAACCATCTCTCTAGCCCCTGATTTGTGCTTTTTCTTATTTTACTTAAAAACTAAGTAAAGCCAAGCCTAGTGGCAGAAGACTGTAATCTAGCTATGTCCGAATGTGAAACAGGTGAGTCTCAAAATCAAGGCCAGCCTAAACTGCAGAATATGTTCAAGGCTAGTGAATGAATGTAGTGAGGTCCCATCTTAAATGTAATTTGCTTCTATGTTTGTTTGTTTGAGTCAGGGTTTCTCTGTGTGGCCTTGGCTGTCCTGAAACTCACTCTGTGGACCAGGCTGGCCTCAAAATCACAGAAATCTGTTTGCCAATGCCTCCCTAGTGCTGGTACTAAAAGTGTGTGCCACCACACCTTCAAATTTAATTTTTAAAAGGGGTCAGCAGCTGAATGGTGGAGCGTTTTTCCGGTGTGTGTTTTCCATCCTCAATACTGCAAAAAGAAAAAGAAGGAAAAAAAAGGAGCTCTTAAATATATTCCGGGTGTGTGGATAATCATCTTGAAGAATGGTTACACGTGTGTACACCACAGCCCTCAGGTCCAGCATCTGGATGCTGGTGTTTCAAGCAGCTCCCTCTGGCTGTGCAGGGGAGAGCAGCATTGCAGGGCTGAGGCTCGGCAGGGCACCACTTAGACAAGCTGGGCTTGAGTATGGTGAACTCAGGGAGAAAGAAGTGGTTGGTTTGAGAGACTTTCTGCTAATAGACCTAGTGAGAGCTGCTGATATGTAAAAAAAATGACTGAGATTGATAGATTAAAGAATTCTGTAAGGTTTGGCCTTCAAAAATGTGGGTGAGAAAATGTGAATTATCACAGCCCTTAGAGAACATAGTACAGAGGGTCCTTGCACTGCTACTCTTAGGTTTGCAGAACTCAGTATGCTGTCGTAGAGAATTTACTATAGCTAAGACAGAAGCCAAGCCCAAGGGTCCATTAACAAGTGAATGGATTAAGAAAAAGTGGCCCATATGCACAACAGAATACTATTCAGACTTAATAGGAAATGTTCTCATTTGCAACATCAGAGCCTGGAGGACACTAAGTTAAGTGAAATAAACCACTTGACTACAGTATCTGAAAAAAAAAAAAAAAAAACAGATGGCAGGATTTGGTGCTTGTCTGAGGCAGGAGCATAAGGATATTCAGGAATTCCGACCAAAGGATTCGAAGTTTAAGTCAGACAAGAGGAATGAGTTCAGGGGGTTCCCAAGTAGGACATGGTAAATAGTTAATGAGGTATTCTGTATTCTGGTATTCTGTAACTGAAAATGGTTAAGAGTACAGAATATCAATGTTCTCAAAACACACACACACACACACACACACACACGAAGTAAAACAAGTCACATAGCCTCATTCAACTTTTCTCTTCCACGGTGTGTGTATATATCCAAATATCATGTGTTATGCCATGGGTATATACAATTTTTAGCTGTCAGTTAAAAATGAATAAAACAAAAAAAAAACAGTTCCTCAAAAAGTAAAAACAGAACAAGTTAACAAGGTGGATTGTGGGATGGTGGGGCAAAGGAGGCAAGGAGCCTTGGGAACAAGTGAGGCCATGGATCCCAGGAGCCATGCCCTCCCCTCTTCCCCAGCCTCTGCCCCAGAGAAGGGCCTCAGGACAGTAGAATATGACACAAAAGTCTCTGACAGGCTAAGGGCATGGGAACACAGTCCTGGGAAGCCTGGGTGCCAGGGAGTAGGGAAGAGCCACTTGGGGTGGAGGCTGTTTCCCTCCCAGCTGTGCTTTGGGAAACCCGGGTGAGCGGAGGGAGGGAGGCAGGCTGCAGTGGGAAGGTAGTGTGTGGCCCCCAGGCGGGAGCCATCTGTTCAGTAATGCAGGCAGTCCCCTCTGTCAGGGGAGGCAAGGAAAAATGACCAAGGCTGCCCTGCCACACAGGCAGGGAGAAGGGTCCCTAGACCTGTGAGGTAATACCTCTGATGATATATGGCCTGAGAAGAGTTGGGTTAATGATCTTCAGCAGGACCCAGGAGTAAACCCCAGTAATTTCATAATACAGCGTGTGATGGATTAAGGCGTGTTAATACCAGGAGTATACATTAAGGGAAATGATCTCGCTGGCATACTAAATGGCAAAATAAAAGCACTTTTAGAAACTTCCATGATTAATTGGTCTGCCCTTTTAGTTCTGTATCATGATAAAGTAAAGCCACTTCTCCTGGTCACCTCCCAGGCAATCCCTCTAAAGCTCTGCGGCCCTCTGAGGGGCTACTGGGATGCTGCCCTGGGGCCAGAAACCAAACTTGCAGCCTAAAATGTAATCTCACATGTCCCCATGGATTCT